GAACAAAGTCATCTGTGGAGCATCTGTGGTACCTTAAGAAGGAAGGCCAGTGGTTTATATGCTGTTCCTAATAAAGTGCTGGTGAGTGTAATCGATCAGTAGCCAGTTGAACTGTGAGTGAAACAGGCAGAGTTGTTCTTAAATAAGTGGTCACTTCTGTACAGGTCAGGGCGAACACTCGTGGTCTTCTGTTGAATGAGATACTGAGTCACAACACACTGCTTTCAATTCTACTGTTTCATTCAGCAGACGCTTTTATCCAAAGCGACGTACATCTGAGGGCAGATACGACACAAGCATGGATCTAGTCAGGAGAAACGAACCCGGATAAGTGCCGTAGAACAAGTTCAGCTGTGACAGGGTGTTGATGCCATTAGCCGCCTCAGTGGGAGGTAATAGGAATTTTTTATTTGTTTTTTCAGTTTCAATCTATCTTGTACAAAACGAACCCTAATGACCATCAAACCTCAAGGAGGAAACTGTTTAAATGGTTAGACTGTGCTTTTTAGGGAAATGTTGTTTCTGGGGAGTACCGTGCAGTAGCTGCTACTGTCTGTGAGTAAGTTCAGCAGTCTGTCTTTAATGTTTTCCAGAGAGCACTGAAAACAGCAGCTGAGCATAAAGTTTTACAATCCATAGTGTAGTGCCGGGTGTTTCAGGAGCTCTCTGGATCACTGCAGTGATTCTGTGCATCATTGGTCTGCTGTGCTGTGACCATGGACGTACTGGATGCCACTTTGACTTAGAAGTTTAACTGTTCAATCAACCTTTGATAAACTTAGACAATAAAGATAGGAGATGGTTGTAGAATACAGAGGTCTAGACGCTGGTGGATCATCCTGCAGGATATGTGGGAGATGGGAAGGCAAGTGTGTGTAATTGTCTGCTTGAAGGGGAAATTGACCAAAACTGATTGGCTGAAAGGGAGGCGGACAGAAAGATCATCGGCCTGACAGGGTGACATCAGAAATGAACCAAAGAGATTTTGACTGCGGAAGAGATGAAGTGAAGGTGTAGATAGAAGCAGAATACCAGGAGAACAGCAGGAATTCACACCAGAAGAAGTGGACTTTGTGAATTTCCTCCAAAGCTTCATTGATAATGTGTCTTACGGTACATGCCTAAAGACTTGAGCTACCGTAAGAAGCAGCGATGGATCCTGATCAGTTTGTTAAAATCAGACCTACATGTGTTGTTTTGCTGTGATACCTCATCAGTGTGGAAGTGTCTGTAGATTCTCAGTCATCTAGGTCATAGTACTCCTCAGTGCTTTAGTGGAACTGGACTTCTTTCTGGTTCTTGAAGATTTTTTGTCTCCTTTTTTTCCATCCATACTAAGGCTTCCTCTGTTCTAACTGACTGGCACGTGGCTCATAAACAACCCAGAACTCACATGGCTGGAGGTGTGAATGGTTGTGAAACTGTCTGGTGGGGAATCTGCATTATAATTATCTGATGGTCATGAATATTGACAGGGAGAACCAGTTTATGACTCGAAGTGTTGCTGGGACTGAAGTGCACTGATGCTCTGCTGGTGGGTCTCTCTACCAGCCACTCAGGAATCCTGTTGGATGAAGGGTGAAATGTTCTCAAGAACCAAAAAAGAGACGCCTGGTTGCTTCCTGCTGAAGCACGAAGGACGACTCTGTGTAAAACCTCCTATAAGCAGAACACAGACTTCTGTCATGGTGGACAGTCTGACGAGTTAAACATAGATTTAACTGTTTATATTAATAAAAGCTTAATTTTGACTGGACTTCTTCAATACTGTGCACTTGTTGAGGACTATGAACAAAATCTGTCCCTATTTGCCACATAGTGCAGTAAACTTTCTATTTGATTCTGTGAATTCTAGGTGTAGTTTTGAGGCACTACATGAGGGCTTAATATCAGAACGAAAGGTGATAAAGGGGAAATAAAAGAGGCATATAGGACATTAAAATAGGATTTAAAATGTTTTTTAAAGAGATGTTCAGCTTCTCTGTGATTTTGTGGGAGAGTAAGTGAACAAACAACAGCATGAAGTTGTGGAGACCAGGTCCTCTGAGATGTCAGAGGGCACAACGACTCCTGTACATGCAGAAATAACGGCACTGTTTTGTTTTGTTTTTTCAAATTTGTTCTAAATGTGACAAAGAGCTATGGGAGACAGAGATGTAAATAACAGATAACACTGACTGCATTTGTCGGCAGGGTTAGAAAGAGTGATCGGGGCGCTGCGATAGCTCACTTGGTTGAGCTGGCATCCCGTGTACAGGGGCTAAAGTCCCCGACGCAGTGGTAGCGAGGTCGAATTTGCTGCAGGTCCTTCTGTGATGGCTCGTGGCCACCAGGTGTGTGTGCTGAACCCAAACAAAGACGGGAAATAAAGGGAGGAACAGGTTTATTTAGGGCAGGGGAGTCCAATCCTGGTCCTCGAGGGCCACAATCCCACATGTTTTAGATGTTTCCTTCTTCCAACACACCTGGTTCTAATGATCAGGATCATTATCAGGCTTCTGCAGAGCTTGATAAGCTGACATTTGAATCAGGTGTGTTAGAAGAGGGAAACATCTAATACATGCAGGATTGTGGCCCTCGAGGACCAGGATTGGACTCCCCTGATTTAGGGGAATCCAGGGGGTGTGGGGCACCAGGAGGCAGGTGGGGAATCCGAGGCAGGTGCGCAGGTTGTAGTGGTGGTGCAGGAGGGGGTTTTCTGTCGGTGTTCGTGGAGGATGGGAATCCAACTCGTGTTGCCGTGGGGTTAAAAGCTGGCGTGAAGGGCAGACGGCTGGGCGCTGGGGCCGGAGGAGAGGAGGCTGGAGAACACAGAGAGAATATCAGAGTTACTTGTGTCTCAAAATAGTTAGCAGAAAAAACACACGAGCATGAAACTGCTGCTAACGGCCTGAATGTACCACTAGTGGTGTTTCACAATCATCTGGCACCGGAGTCCAGGTGAGCAGTGGCTTTAACCTGTCTGCTGACTGAGGCGATGAGCTGCAGCTGTGCCAGCGTCCTCCTCCGATCGGCTCCGCCCAGCCTGAAAGAGAAAAGCAACGCCAGCCAAACACACAGAGAAAACAGGAATCCAAAAAACAGACAGTAAACCAGTCCATAACCCTCACCTCCCTTCCCCCATTCTTCTCCCCCACTTTCCTGTCCCCCTCTTCACTACACTTTCGAATAAAGGCACGAAAGGCCCAAAAAATAACTTTAAAAAAAAAGGTGATCATAAGTTTCAACGCACCACTCTGTGGAGCTCTTCTGTATAGAATACATTAAAATGGCGTCCTCGAAGTATGTTGCAGCAGCAGCATCATATTCTCAGTAAGATAATTGGTGCCTGAAGCCCACTTCACTGTGCTGCTCACCATCCGAGCTGTTTGACACTGAGCCACTTTCTGCTCTGTGATGAACACTGATGACAACTGATTGATTCAGCTCGGCTTGTTTGTATCCAGTTACATCACATTCGCTGTCTGATTGCAGTCACACATGGCCTCGGTCCTCAGTTCCGTCTCCAGTGATTGCATCTATTCACTGACTGTTTTTCTCTCCCACCAGAGCTACAAGCTGGCTGTTGAGCTGAAACCTGACCAGTCTCAGGCCTGGATGAACATGGGAGGGATTCAACACATTAAGGTGGCACATGTCACGCCTCATCACACACACCACAGCTTCTTCTTTCCAGTCATTCAGTATGGCAGTAACTTGTTAGTTAGAAACCTGAAACATGTTGCTGAAAACATGCTGGCAATAGAATAACAACTGTCATATTAACTTTACATAAAGTTCACTGGGAATTAGTGCATCTCAGATTTTTTTGGCCTACTGGCCAATATGTTCATCCGCTGCAAACTGTGTCAAAATCTGCACTCCTTTACAGATATTTTTATTCATTCAAATATAAACATACTGGAATGACATACATACAGCGCCCTCCATAATTATTGGCATCCCTAGTTAAGACGTGTTAAAAGCCTTAAAATAAATTCAGTTTTTTTTGCAGAAGCATCCTCTCACACTGAAAATTGTAGAAAAATGTAACCTTCAACTCAACTTAAATGAATTGTTGGCAAAAGGAGGTTGTACAAAGTATTAACATCCAGGATGCTGATAACTGTGGCACACATGATTTGATGTAAAAGAATTATTTTTTAATGTGGGTTTTTTTCACACTGAATAAATGCACTTGAATTAAAGGTTGAATTTTGATCTTTTTTTTTCATTGTGTTCCTACATTATTTAAAAAAAAAAAAAAGAATTTACTAGAAGCTAAAGAACACATCTTAACCAGGGGTGCCAATAATTATGGAGGGCGCTGTATTTTAGATTCACTCTTCCCTGCACTTCCTGAACAGATCATTATCACTGTTGTTGATTACAAGCAGACTTTCAGAAATACACTGAAATCATAGAAAGCAGACGCTTTGTGAAGCTGCAGAAGTTTTTGAAAAGCACCATGTTTTAAAGTTTTCTTTCGTGTCATAATGTAATGCTTCAAAGTTTTCATGATAAAAGGATGATGAGTAACCAAGTCCTGGCATCAAAAACTCAATAGAGGCACTAAAGGTCTGAATTGAAAGCATGTTTGTGTGTAACGCATGTATCGTTGTGTATGTGTGTGTGCAGGGAGACTATGCAGCTGCCAGGATGTACTACCAGCGGGCCCTGCTTCTGAGCCCTGGTTCCAAACTTCTGAAGGAAAATCTGGCCAAGTTGGACCGGCTGGAGAGGAGACTGACAGGAGGGGCATAGACCGGTCAGCCCCACTGATCCTGTATCGTCCTGGGCACAGGTCAGGGGAGCAGGCAGCCATCCGGCCCTCTGGAGCCCAAACACCAGCCGCCAGGCTGCTGGATAAAACAGACATGGTTACAGAGAGCAGACAGATGGGGAACTTGTTTAGAGCTGGACTGGGTGAGCTGAAGTCAAAGACTGATCAAGCCACAGCCCAGAAGCCTTTCCTGGGGTAAGCAGAAGGGGAATGGCTGGCTGAAGACCACTGGAAGCTCCAAGCATTGCTCTGTCTGCACCAGCTTTACGTCGACATGCACTCCTGCTTCAGACGTTTGTGTTGGATTGATTTGTTATTAAGGTTCATATGAAGTCATTTCCTTTATGGCACTTAATGACTGATTCTAATTCAGTCCTCTGCTCTGCCTTCCAGAACAATTCATGTATTTACATCAGTGCAGTGACCGTGTGTGGAAAATGTTATGAAGGGAATGGACGGGGTTCTTTCTTGAACTCTGGGAACAGTACATGTAACGAAGTAATCTCAGCTCAGAGGTCCACTTACCGAATTAGTGGAGCTTTCATGGTCGTAAGCCTTCAAGAGTCACAACAGTTCTATCATGTATTTACTGACCTCTGACAGCAAGACGCTGAAGTCTGCTGCCATCTTTTTACTCTTGGGTGATGTTTTTGAGAATGAAACCTGTTCACAACTGGAGCAGAAGGTGATTAGTAGCAGTTAACGAACATCAGTTATAACTATATTCTGTTCTGTAAACCTGCTTCTCTTGAACTACTGTAACCTTTCACCCACTTGTGATCACAGAATGGTGCTTCTTCTACATCAGTGATTAATACAGACAGACGAGGCACATTAACCAAGAGAATACTTTTGGCCTTTTTGATGAATAACTTATGGAATCAGTTGATATAAGTTGCTTGTGCAGTTGTTATTTGAACCAGCAGAAGTGATGCTCAGTGCCGCCTAACAGCGAGAGGCCGACTGACCTCAGTGTCTGAATGTGATACCTGAGATATCTTCTCTTGCCTTTATGATGGTTGGCACTGAAAGCGCTCCTTTGAAAGCAGATGGGATGGTGAGTGTCTGCAGGGTGTTGTGGTGGCCATGCTGGGTAAATGTTGTCTTGAATTCTGCATGTAAGCCCAGTGTCACCAGCAACCCCCCTCCCCCCCACACTACCACACATCCTCCTCCATGCTTCACATCAGGAACCACACATCCAGACACCATCTGTTCAGCAACTATCTCACATCTGGATCTGTCAGAACAAAATCCAGGTCTCCACTGTCTGATATCCATTCCAGTGTTTCTGTTTCTTCTTGGTTTCTCTCAGTAATGGTTTCTTTGCAGTAGTTCCACAAATAAAACCTCTTGAAATGGGAAATTAAATTGAAGAAACATCTGAAAGAGCATGAAATATCCAAACTGGACAGTCAGGGTGACTGAATTATACAAGTCATGAGTGTGACTTCAAGCTATTCCTCTGCCTTCCCAGTATACATGACAAAGAGTCCATTCTTAGGCACCTGCTCCATGCACTGTACAACACTGCACTTCAAAGATCTGGAAAGTGGGTAAGTGGACCTTTGAGTTTTTATTACTGTGTCACACAAGGGGATCGAAGGAACGGGATTCATTTTAGCCCCACTTTGTTGGAGTAAATACAACAAAAGCTGCACCTGTAAAGCTCTCAGATTCTATGTCTTATTTAAAATGTAGACTGGTAACAGCTGCTTCCTCTTGAGACAACCTGAATCGTTTTCATCTGACCTCCATTTCCACAAGTGTCTGCATTATACGACCTGATGTCACAAGCCTTCTGCAAGTATAATAAGCTAGTGTGTCTGCTCCCGTGTTGAGCTGAAACTTATGGCTTCATGTGTACCATAACCTCTGAAGATTGCCGTTTGGTTGCTCGTTGTGGTTTTGTTGACAGTGATGTTGACTGTGAATGAATTTTGTTGTGGAATGACAATGGGTTGAAAATGAAGTGACGAGTGCAATGACTGACTTGCACCAAGAAAATAAAGTATATGTTTTATTAAATGGTGTTTGGAGTTCCTCTATCGAAACGTCCCAAATTCCCAACTCTACCACTGGTTCATTGTGCAGCTTTTCCTAAATGTGATCACATGATGGATCCATATCCCAGTGCCATTCTGGCCCATAAAGCACAGACGGAAACAGCAGAACAGAATAAACAGTTACTTTCATTAGCATTAACCTGAAAACCAAAACACTGAAATATGTTTTTTTCCAAAAGAGGATTAAAGGAGTTTAAAAAAGATAAAAATGCTGCATGGACTACAGGAGCAACAGTTCACTGGAGGTCAGTCAAGCCAGTGTGGAAATACAGGGAAACATCGGGACATTACAGTCACACAAAGACACAGAACTACAGATAAATATCCAACACAACCTTCAGCAGTGTAAATGTACTCTGCATACTAGGCCATCACCTTCCTGGATTAATTCTGCATTTAATACACACCACGAGCTGGAAAATAACAAGTTTAACACCGTCAGCTCAGAGTGCTCCATGACTGTAAAACAAATATAACTGACCGCAAAAAAACAGATCCTATTATTGCAGACAGCAGATGAATTTTGCAAACTCACCTGAACCTGAACTGGACACGAGATACAAGAGACAGCAGGATATGAGAGGCTTTCACACATAATGTTTTAATTTTATGACACACAATAGCAAACAAACAAACAGCCTTTGTCTTCTGCCAGGCATTGTTCATTTTTGTGAATCATGTAGAGCCATATCAAAGCATCTGCTTGAGGTAAGGTCAGGCGCCCAATTCCAGACATCCACGCTGACATCAGGGACAGATTCATGGTGGCCCCCCAGGATGGCCTTGGTCACCACAGACTGAAGTGTGGCCACCTCACACATAGGCACCATCGGCATGTAGACTATAGGCACATAGTCAGAACTGGAGTAACATCAAGTAATTCTTATTTTTCAGTCAAAACTTTACTCTTTCATTTCTCTTTTTCTCCCATAATGATACATTTGAACAGCACAACATCTGTCAAGTGCACGAGGACTCTCACACATAGATTCTCAGCATTTCAAGCTCACTTTCTGGTAAGTGTGCATTTCTGCAGATGTTGCCTGAGGGAATTACCCATGGTTCATAGTGTTGTGATGTTACTCACGGGCGTATCAGAGGAAACCTAGAAGATATGTTTTTAAAAAATAAAGGTAAACAAGTCAGCATGAAAGGAGCAACCAAGCCCAACGTGACAAGAATAAACAATTTTATATGTCAGTACAAACACATAGCTCAGCGGTGATTCATGGAACTGTGCAGAACTGGGCGGAAGTGTTTGTCCTGGATGGCATGATGATGAATTCCAGGTAGGCTTTCCCTTTTGTGCCTTGGCTTTAAATATAAAAAATAAAATAAATACTCCCAAATCCACAGCAGTGAGAAACACATTTTGGTGTTGTCAAGCTAGTGATATATCAGGGTCCCCTCCCCAGTCCCTGTATCTGCCCCATCTGCCCCACCTGACCTCCCTGCTTCTCCCTCTCTCCTGTGCTGCTCCCTGCAGCGGACTGTCCTGGTTCTGTTTTGGTCCTGCTATCCCTGGTTCCAGTTTGGTTTTGGTCCTGCTATCCCTGGTTCCAGTTTGGTTTTGGTCCTGCTATCCCTGGTCCCAGTTCAACTGTGGTCCTGCTATCCCTTGCCCTGGTTCTGCTTCAGTCCTGCTCGCCATGGCTCGCCTCTGGATTCCCCAGAGCCCCGTCCTGAAGGGCATCAGCTCCCCCCCCCCGGTCCACTCTCTGGAGCGCCACTGCAGCTCTCCGCCGCCCACCCTCTCCATCAGTGTTCGCTTCTTGGACTGACGGTTCCCAGGAGCCTGTCCGCCCCCCACCCAGTCGTTAGAGAGTTTTCAGTTCATTTTGTCCCCAGGCCTCCACCTCCCCACCTCAGTTCTTCCTGGCTCTCTGTTCATGTGTGTTTAGGGCTCAGGGTGGAGATGGGACGTTACCACGGTGCAAGTTGACCTGACTTTATGTGCTTCAGAAGGATGTTGGAAATTTGCAGTCTAGGGTTATATCAAAGCTGGCGGAGGACCCAGGACACACTGGCCAGAAATACTGAGTGGAGCAATGTGTAGCACCCCAGCCCCCATAATTTAACACTTTGATGGCTTTAACAACTTAGGATCCTGGGGTGTTTGGGTTCGTACTACTACGGTAGTTACCCTAAGGTTTACCTGATGTGAATCAAACTATCAAATCTATCCACAATTAACACACACTCTTTTGAATAACTGACCACAGACAACTTGTTTAAAATTAAATAAAAGCACTTTAATTAAATGTTTTAAATGAAATGTCCAAAAATATATTTCTTCTGTATGATTTTGTAAACACAAAATGTAACCCCAAAATAGCTCAAAATAGTCCCTTCAAAACCAGGTGTGGTACCTTCTCTTGATAACAAATTAACAATCAACACAACACTTTCCCTTCAAAATACTTCAGGGTACCTTGACTATTCTCAAAACATATTACTCCAAATATGTAGCTCAAATGTTCATATATATGACTGCAAACAAACAGACTCACAATAAATCATTTTACACTGTTACTCAGTAATTTGTGGGCCCACACATACCCTCCAACAGCAAAACGTTGCAGGCCTGTGTGATGATCTCCAGCTGATCGCCGAATCCTCGTAGCAGAGTAGAAACCATAGACTGTATAAAAGATGGACGTAGCTACCGTGACGTCACCCGTTGGTTTCTGCACTGAGAAAATGAAGCCAGGGGCTGTGTCCGAAATCACTCCCTATGCCCTACATAGTGCACCATATAGGGTGCACGCCATTTTGTAGGGGTGTCCGAATGTTAGGTTACAAATGATGCATCCTATATAGTGCACTCAAAATATCCCACAATGCACCCTGAAAAGTAGTGTACAGCCGATGGTCACTAACCAAGCGACATGGACCATCATGCATTGCGTGGAAGAAGAATGGCAGACGGACGGGAGCGCAAAAGCTTGTCGTACAAATGTGAGTAATTTCCCGTTTAAGTTGTTTTGTTGAATCTTGTTTTTCCTGTGTTGTAGCCATGTAATAAACTCCGAATTCGATGTGTTTGCACTACGTTTATGTAGCAGAAATCATGGCTAACGAGCGACTGAGCTTGCTAATGTTAGCTTAGCCTCCTCCATATAGTCGTTGCCGCTAAGTTTACACTGGATGAGTATATAATTTCTAAATGGTACGTTGTGGAATTGCATGGGTTCACC